CGAAAAAACGCCATAGGGGCCATCGCTGAGCGAACGCTCCAGCGATGGCCCGGACCCCCTCGCTATGCGAATTCATCGCTCAACGGAGCGATCGTTAAGCGAGGCACCACTGTATAACAGCCCACTAGAGGTCAGCTTAAATATCCTCCTTTTAATATCTGCATTGTAGTACAGATTGACTGTCATCTTTGTATCTGATCTTGCATCCAGAGGTTCCCTTGCACTTTTGAATATTATGGCTAAGCCTAAAAATGAAGTAGTTTAGGAGCAGTGTTCATTCCCTCTGAATGTTTTCACTAGCTCATATCACTGCTCTGTTTGTTTGGCATCTCATTTGCATGTAGCTTCTTGATGTGAAAGAAGGCTGGGGTTATGGGGTTCATTGCATAAGATATACAACCCTACAGAGGTCCAAACATGCTTCAGGCACTGAAAACGGCTTATTTTTCCTTCATTGCTCCCTGGTACATGAAGGCCAGTATTTTGTGTAGCAGTGTTGAATGCAACATCCGAAACATCTGCCAATGTTTGTAAAACATTTTGCATTCTGATACAGATTAGGGCTGGAATGGATTGGCAATTGTTTCTAAGATGATACATTTTTAATTTTTTTTTTCTAACATCACAGCAGGTTTCAATACAAGAGCAGTGTTGAACATCCGAAACATCTGCCAATGTTTGTAAAACATTTTGCATTCTGATACAGATTAGGGCTGGAATGGATTGGCAATTGTTTCTAAGATGATACATTTTTAATTTTTTTTTTTTTTTCTCACAGCAGGTTTCAATACAAGGGGATGCTGATAAGTATTGAGCCTTACCCTGAAAAAATTGAGCTAGGAAGCTATAAATTGTAGGGTGCATTGGCCAATTTGTCTGTATTCAGTGGTGCAAAAATCAACTACCTGTGATTTTAACTTATCTTTCATGTTCAGGTCCAGAGTGAACACGGCAGCACCTCCAGAAAAGTTCATTGTGGAAGAGCATAGGACCATAATCAAATTCCTGTTTCTCCAAGGGAAAGGTGCAAAGCAGATCCATGATGAAATGTCACAAACTATGGGTGACAGTGGCCCTTCATATGCAACAGTTAAACGTTGGGTTGTCTATTTTAAAACTGGCCGTTTCGGTGTTGAAAGTGAGAAACCCAGTGGAAGGCCTGTTCCTTTCTCTTGCCTGCAGATGTGAAAGCCATCCATGACATGATCATGGAGGACCGCTGAATATCAGCCCAAAGTACTGCTATATATCTGAGAGTATCATGTGAGAGAGTTGGTGCCATTATCCACAACGACTTGGAAATGAGAAAGCTGGCAGCAAAGTGGATCCCCAAACTTTTGACAACCGAACAAAAGAGGAAACTTTGGCTGTTTTGGAACATTTTGCAAGAAATGAGTCAGATTTCCTGGGCAAACTGGTAACTGGTGATGAGACATGGATCTACTGTTATGATCCTGTGACAACGGAACAGTCTAAGGAATGGAGGCACAGTGGTTCCCCCAGGCCAAAGAAGTTCCGAGTGCAAAGGTCGGCACAGAAGCAAATGGCAATAGTTTTTTGAGATAAGAAGGGAGTTCTGCTGGTGGACTACCTCCATCAGGATTCAACCATCAATGCAAAATATTACTGTGCTTTATTGACGAAGTTGAGGCAAAACATCAAGGAAAAACGTGGAGGAAAGCTTTCCAAAGGTGTCATCCTGTTGCATGACAATGCCTCATCACACACTGCAGGTGAAA